AGCTGCCTGCAGTTTCGGCCGCCACTCCCCCTTGATCTTTTCTTTTGGTGATGGAGTGGACGGGAGTGGCGGCGAAGGTATGGGAGGCGGATCCTGCAAAATAGGAAACACAGAAGGATACACGACAGACTCGTGCTCCTGGTGAGATACAGCATGCAGAGGTGACGAAGCAGGGAGAGTATTAGCAATTGAAAACGTTATTCGCTCCTCGCCATCCCTCAAAACTAAGGTCACATCACGCACATCTATGAGAGCCTTGGCGGTGGCCAGAAAAGGCCTTCCCAGTATAAGGGGCACTTCTGTGTCATCATTGATGTCCAAGACAACAAAATCCACAGGATAATTGAATTTGCCGACCTTAACCAGAAGGTCTTCCACTATGCCCCTAGGATGCATTATAGATCGGTAAGCTAATTGAAGGCTCATCCTAGTAGCACGGGGTTCACCTAGACCTAGTTTCTTGAACAATTTATACGGCATAACATTGATACTAGCACCTAAATCCGCCAAGGACCTCTCTACATGCAATTTATCTATAGAGCACGGGATAGTAAAACTACCTGGGTCCTTCTGCTTCTGCGGAACCTTGTTCTGCAGAATAGCTGAGCACTCCTCGCTGAGCTCCGCAGTGGCCAGCTCGCTCAGCTTCTGCTTCTTTGAGAGAAGATCTTTCAGAAACTTCGCATACTTAGGCATTTGAGAAAGTGCCTCCAGGAAAGGTACTTGGACATTCAGCTTCCTAAGCATGGACATGAAGTTCCCTAACTCTGCATCTAGCCTGTCTTTGTGTAACTGAGTAGGGAAGGGGAGTTGAGGGATATACTCCTTCCCTACTGTTTGCGGTTTAGGCGCAGGCACCTCAGCCTCCTGCTCCGCTTCTTCATCAGCCGCTGGAGATGCCGAGGCAGGGGCCTCTCTCTCTTGTGCCCGAACAGGTGGATCAACAGTCATCTTGCCACTCCTGGTTGTGATGGCATTGCAGTGCTCATTCGGGTGTTGCCGATGAGGGATGGTCTGACCGGGTAGAGTACCAGGAGCCCTTTGTGCCACTTCTTGAGCCACGCTCCCCAGCTGGGTTTGGATATCCTGCAAGACAGCCTGTGTGTTCCTCTGGCCAGCTTCAAGAGCCAGGAATTTACCCGAGGCCTTTTCCATGAACTGCTCGATAGTGTTGAATTTCTAAGCACTAGAACTGACGAGAGAACCCACCAAGTCCCGCAGTTCAGCCATCGGATCATTTTGCACTGGGGTGGCAGGGACTGCAACTGGCTGCTGGAAAGGTCGCGAATGTGATTGAGCAGCATGTCCCTGCATGGGCTAGTAGAGAGACTGTTGCTGCTGGAATTGCCCCTGTCTGGAATTTGCCCCACCCCAGGAGAAGTTTGGATGCTGGCGCCACCCCTCGTTGTAGGTGTTACTGTAGGGGTCATTTCGCCTAACATTATTGATGAAGTTCACCTGCTCCTGGGGTGTGGTTGATTCCTTCATCACCTGGCAGTCTTCCACCGTGTGATGGGTGCTCTCGCACCACTGGCAGAGCACTGCCTGTTGCTGTCTGGTCCCTGGAATCATCCCAGAGCGATCGATGGCTAACACCAGCTTCGACACCACCTGCACCAAATCAGATGACTGGGTGGCTACAGAATGCACACCCCGCCCTGGTGCTCGTCTCGATCTCCTTGCAGTTCCCCAATCATACTCGTTCTCTGCCATCTCCTCAAAGAGTTGATTCAATTGTGGCGGTGTTTTGGTCAGCATGTTCCCGCCACAAACCGAGTCAATCAGCTGCTTGTCTTCTGGGAAGAGGGCGTGATAGAAGGTGCCCACCTTGAAAGCATCGTTGAAACCATGATTGGGACACCTCAGGAAGAGACTGTTGTACCTCTCCCATGCGTCCCGGATGGTCTCATCTTCATCCTGGATGAAGTGGGTGATCTGCTTCTGCAAGTCCCCCGTTTTTGACGGAGGATGATAGCGGGTGAGGAACTTGTCCGCCAGGTTGGCGAACATGGTGATAGAGCCTGGAGGTCGAGTATCTAGCCACTCCTTGGCCTGCCCCTCCAGGGTGAATGGGAAGTACCTCAGCTGGATGGCATCTGCTGGGACCCCATTTATCTTGATTCCATCGATGAGCTCGTGGAATCGCCTGAGATGTGATCGGGGGCACTCCCCCTCTTTGCCACGGAACACTACCAAACCGCGCAGGATGCTGATGATGGAGGTGCTCACCTCAAAATTATTGGCTGGGACATGAGGGTGTTGAATGGGCGACCTCATGTCCGCGGCCCTTGCGGTCCAGTAATATCCCATGGTCTGCTCCTCGCGAAGGACCACATCATGATCCTGTGGATCCCCCATCTCTTCTTCTTCTTCTTCGATCTGCAGCTGTGCTAGCTCTTCTTCCGCATCCAGTCGCGCCTTTAGAGCCCGCTTGAAGTTCCGGCAGGTTCGTTCAAGCTCCTGGTCTAATGGCAGCAGATCTCCCGACTGGCTACGGGTCATGCACTACCTGCACACTGTAACACCCTACCCTATACGTTTTGCCTAATCATATTGTTCATACAATTGCAGCGGAATTAATCTCGGGTGTTACATTAATTATCAAAATTTACCTAAATAAAATTTCGACATGAATTACTCGCGTAATGGGCTAACAGTTCTTCCATATGATCCTGCAAAATAATTCATCTGAATCCATGCATTCATAGACAAACACATATACTCACAACCATATGCATTGGCTTTTCATAGCCATAGTCACAGTTTCATACTACACAACTGCATACTATACTGATACATGCTATAATTATCACTACTTACCTAATTACACAATATACACATATCATCAACTTTCCACACCTGTGGATATCTCACACGACATCAGAAGCTAGTATGCACATGAAAAACGTTCTCAAAACATTCTTTTACAAAAAGGTGTGGATCACTGGCCAAAATCCCGAGTAGTAGTCCAAGCACAGAATAGTTGAAGACCATACCTCATCCTTGCTTCAACTCTAGCTCCTCTCCCACCTAACACTTATCTACTGCTGCTGCTGATGATCTGCTTACACATAGCATAAGCAGAGAAGAATAATAAAAGAGGGTCAGCTCATAGCTGAGTGAGATAATCATAGCATCGTGAGTTCATAACAGAGCATACCCCTACCATACATCTAGCAAACGAGCCAAAACACTAGGATCGGACCTCAGCCATCCTCATATCCCAATAAGCAAAAGACTCAACCACTTTGACTTATGCATATGCATCTTATCATGTTTTAATCATAGGCGCCTGGCTACTCCCATGCTGATAACTCTCCCGGGAAACATACCCCACATCTCGTCGGATGTAGTCATACATACCCCAACATCCCGTCGGATGTGGTCATACATACCCCACACCACTATGGGTGTAGTCATACCCCGACACCACTCTGGGTGTGGTCATATCTCGTAAGAATTCTTCAGTCACCACCACATGAGAGGTGTGACTATCATATCATAATAGAGTAATAGCATAGGGAGCCCTAATTACTATGTAGTTGACCGTGAGACCACAACACTCATATTTGGTATCCTTATACATGATTCATATCTCATCTTGCTTAATCATAATTCATTACTTGCACATGTACTTGACCTGGCCATAATTGGCTCAACATAGGTAAACCAGGAGTCGTATAGTTGCACTTCCTCGGGATAAACCCTCGTGCAAGTCATCCTCCTTAAAACATCATGATATCACCAGGGAATATATATTTTCCCACTTGTGCATCCAAATACAACAATCATGAAAAATCATATCCAATCACCTTCTCGAACCATCATAAGGCATATTCACAATTAAACCCACATCTGGCAACATATATGGAATTATCAACATAAACAAGGTCCATATCGATTAGGGCAAGTCAATAATATCATACAGAAGCCTATAGTTCATCATATAGCAGAGAAGTCCATACACCCATAATCATGCCATTCTAATTCACCTAGGTCAATTCTAAGCATCAATATAATTATCGTGATACGACAAACCCGGTATGCCGTGCTAATCCCTCACCAGTTCTGTTCGTTCAAACACCGGTTTAACCTTCCCGTACTAAAACGTCAATTTCACGAACGAACCCCGAATTAAAATCCGAGACCGTCCTAATATCCCCTGCAGTATCCCCGTCAATATTAGTTCTAGGCTCCGGGTCAAATTCTCGATAAAAACACATCAAACCCTGGCCGGAGCTAAATTCAGCCATTTGGACCCCGGCCTAAATAATAGCCGAAATTCAGGGATTAGAACTAGAGGATTGATTACCTCGCTGCAGGAAGCTCGTATATGAAATTTGGGCTCAATCCGGCTTCCGGATACTCCGAAACCCTAATTTGGCAGATCGGGAATTCAAGAAATTCCTGAACCAAAAACTCGTTTTAAAGCTCTAAATCGATAAAACACGATGTATGGATGAATTAGGCATTACTTACGGGATTTTTGGATCACTTATGCTCAAGAATTAAGCTGGAGAATTTTCCCCCGACGTTCCCTGAACTTCGCTTGCTCTGTTTTTTTCTCTCGGTTCGAAAGTGGAAGAAGAAATGGCATGAGAGAATGGAAATGGACGGTAAATTTTATATCCCGACCGCTTTTATATATATATAATTAATACGTATACTTATCCGATCGATCGATAATCCGATTTTCGCCGAAATAGTGTCGAAATGCTCGATTTTAAATCGCGAACTTTCTAGCGATCGAAATATGGGTTTAGCCGAAACGGGTTGCTACAATTCTCCCCTCCTTAAAAGATTTCGTCCTCGAAATCTAACCTTGAGCTGTACTCTAACTCCTCTTACTTACCCTTAACATGGTCTATCATACATAAAGTCATTACCTAACTCTTAGGTTAGGCAATTCATAACATAGAAAGTAACACATAACACCTCAAGTTCCCATGTTTAGGTTTCAAAAACCTATACTGGGCTATCACAACAAAAGCACATCAATAAGCTGAAAACATAACTTATTAGGCAAGATTGTTAACCTGCAAAGTAGGTTGCTACTAACTCAGGGTACTTCTCTCGCATACTTGCTTCAGTTTCCCATGTAGCACTCTCACTATCTTGATTTCTCCACACCACTTTCAACATTGGAATTTCTTTCCTGCGAAGAGTCTTAATCTGAAAATCAACAATCTCAACTGGAACCTCCTCAAAGTTTAAATCTGGACCCAACTCGATCTCTTCCGGTTGTATGACATGGGAAGGATCCACTTTGTACCTCTTCAGCATACTAACATGAAATACATTGTGGATTTGAGATAGTTCTGGAGGCAATGCTAGTTTATATGCCACTGGTCCAATCTTCTCTGTGATTTCATAGGGTCCAATATACCGAGGTGCAAGTTTCCCTTTCTTACCAAATCTCATTACGCCTTTCCAGGGTGACACTTTGAGAAATACTTTCTCACCCACTTCGAAATTAACTTCACGCCTACTCGTGTCAACATAAACTTTCTGTCGATCTTGAGCCACCCTCAAACGCTCCCTGATTTCCTTGACCTTATCAACTGTGATCTGAACTATCTCTGGCCCTGAGATTTGCCTTGCTCCTTCTACATCCCAACATAATGGTGTTCTACACTTCCTCCCATAAAGTGCTTCATATGGTGGAACACCCAAGCTACTATGGTACTGGTTGTTGTAAGCAAACTCAATTAAGGGCAAATGGTCAATCCATGATTCCTCCCATTGCATTACACATGATCGAAGTAATTCCTCCAAAGTTAGGATGGTTCGTTCACTCTGCCCATCTGTTTGAGGATGATAAGCTGAAGTAAAATGCAGTTTAGTTCCCAAGGCATCATGTAAACTTTGCCAAAACCGAGATGTGAAGCTTGGGTCTCGATCAGAGACAATAGAAATTGGTACACCATGCAATCTGACGATCTCCTTAATATATAGTTGAGACAAAGTCTCCAGTGATGGTTTCCACCTAATGGGTAAAAAGTGAGCCGATTTGGTCAGTCGGTCCACAATAACCCATACTGCATCTTTTCCCCTTGATGATGGGAGACCATATACAAAATCCATTGTGATTCTTTCCCACTTCCATTCTGGAATTGGAAGTGGTTGCAGTTTTCCCACAGGAGCTTGATGTTCTGCCTTAACTTTCTGACATACCAGACATGTGAAAACATGTTCAGCCGCTTCCTTTTTCATCCCACGCCACCAAAAATATGGTTTGATCGTGTGATACATTTTAGTTGCTCCTGGGTGCATAGCATAAGCAGAAGAATGAGCTTCATCTAGGATCTCTTTCCTCAAGTTATCAACATTAGGAACACATGCTCTTCCATTAATCTTCAACATGCCATCTACCATTTCAAATGGGCTTTCTTTTCCTTCCTCAATGTCTTGAATGATTTTTACCAACTCTAGGTCCTCCTTCTGCTTCTCACGAATTTTTTCGTGCAACAAAGGTCGAATGTTCAACCGAGCTAGTAACCCTGTTACACCATCCACTTCCAAATCAACATTCATTGCCCTCAAATCAACCAGATCATTTATATTCTTCTTCCCCTTTCTGCTCAGAGCATCAACAACTACATTAGCTTTACCTGGATGGTAATCAATGGTACAATCATAATCTTTCAACAACTCTATCCATCTCCTCTGGCGACTATTTAAATCCTTCTGATCCATAATATACTTCAAGCTTTTGTGATCAGTTAGAATTTTAAAAGTCTCACCATACAAATAATGTCGCCAAATCTTGAGAGCAAATACCACCGCTGCCAATTCTAAGTCATGAGTGGGATAATTTACTTCATGAGGACGCAATTGCCTAGAGGCATATGCGATAACTCTTCCATCTTGCATTAACACACAGCCCAATCCTTGATACGAGGCATCACTATACACCACAAACTCTCCCTGACTTGAAGGTAGTGCAAGTACTGGTGCTGTGGTCAATCTCTTTTTCAGTTCATCAAAACTCTTTTGACATGATTCATCCCAAACATACTTGGTATTCTTCCTCAACAGTTTAGTCAATGGTGCAGCAATTTTGGAAAATCCTTCTACGAACCGCCGATAATAACCAGCCATGCCAAGAAAACTTCTCAACTCCGACACATCTTTTGGTGGAGTCCAACTCACCACTGCTTCCACCTTTTCCGGATCCACCTCGACACCTCTTCCAGAAATTACATGTCCCAGAAATATTACCTCCTTCAGCCAAAACTCACATTTTGAGAATTTTGCATATAATTGTTTCTCCCTTAGAATTTGCAACACAATTCTAAGGTGAGTTTTGTGCTCCTCCTCGCTTTTAGAATAGATGAGAATATCATCTATGAACACAATCACAAACTTATCAAGATATTCATGGAAAACTCTGTTCATAAGAGCCATAAATACCGCTGGCGCATTAGTGAGTCCAAAAGGCATTACCAGGAACTCATAATGCCCATATCTTGTTCTAAAAGCTGTCTTTGAGGTTGCTCCATCTGCCACTTTCAATTGATGGTATCCAGATCTCAAATCAATCTTAGAAAAGACTGATGCACCCTGCAATTGATCAAACAAATCATCTATTCTTGGAAGGGGATAACGATTCTTCACTGTCGCCTTATTCAACCTCCGGTAGTCAATGCACATTCTCATGGAACCATCTTTCTTCTTGACAAACAAAACCGGTGCACCCCAAGGTGAGATGCTAGGTCGAATAAACCCCTTGTCTAACAATTCTTGCAATTGTTCTTTAAGCTCCTTCAGCTCAATTGGTGCCATTCTATATGGTGCCATTGAAATTGGTGTTGTGCCAGGTACCAATTCAATATCAAACTCTACTTCCCTTTCTGGTGGAAGGTCGGGAAGTTCTTCGGGGAATACATCAGGAAATTCCCTTACCACCTCTACATCCTCAACCTTCTTATCATTTACTATAGTAACTTGAGCAAGAAAGGCTTCACAACCTTCCTTCACTAATCGAAAAGCTTCCAAGGCAGAAAGAAAACCATGAGTCTCCTTTTTCTTAATGCCTCGGAATACAACAGGACCTTTATCTGGTATGCTGAATAACACTTCTTTCTTTTGACAATCCACAACAGCTCCATGTGTTGCCAGAAAGTCCATTCCAAGGATGACATCGAATTCATCAAAAGGTAGCAGAATTAAATCCGCTGCTAGGAAAGCTCCTTCCACACAAATGAAGGAACTTCTAATAACTGAGTCTACCTTCAAGGTATCTCCCACAGGTGTTTTAACACATAAGGTATAGCCTAACTTATCTGGAACTAAACGTAGCATATGTGCAAACGTATATGACATGAATGAGTGAGAGGAACCAGTATCGATCAAAGCATATAATTGCTTGCCAAGGATAGAAAGCATACCCGTCACAACTTCTGGTGCCACTTCTGCCTCACCTCGAGTCATTGCATAAACCCTCGGTGCTCCCTGTGCTCTGGTACCCTGCGTACCACTTCCTGATGGCTGATTTCGACCACCACCTCTACCACCCTGTGAACCACCACGACCACTCTGAAATCCACTACGGCCTCCCTGGTAACCACCCCTGAATGGGGCTCTACTCATTTGCACTGAAGGCTCGGACTGTGTAGCTCTTACTTCTCTCGCATGCGGGCAATCCCTCATGATGTGCCCAGGTTGGCCACAGTGAAAGCATACACCAGAAAATCTCCTACACTCTCCAAGATGCCTCTTCTGACAAACTTGACAAAATGGAAATTGTGTGGCTGAGGAAATTGGTGCCCTGTATGATGTTCCCGACATAGATTGACTCTGTGTTCTCCCAAAACTGCTAGGACCTCTCCTGGGTGGGTAACGAGGTCCAGCATAATTTACTCCAAACTTCCTCTTCTTCTCCTCTTCTTTGGCCTTGTGTTCGTCTCGGCTCTCAACTTCATAGGCTTCATACTTAAGTGCTGCCTCCTTGATTGTGGCCATACTCTCTTCATCAACCCTGTGGACCTTTTCTTTTAATCCTATGCGCAGACCATGCAAGTATCTCATCTTCTTCTTATGCTCAGTATCCGCCAACCCATCCTCAAAGTAGAGTAGTCGAACAAACTTGATGGTGTACTCAGTAACTGCCATATTCTCCTGCTTAAGGTTGGCAAATTCATTGTTCTTTGCCCTGATAAAAGCTTCGGGAAGAAACTCTGTCTTAAAGGCCTTCAGGAACTCCTCCCAGGTGAACTGAACTCGTTCACCATTAACTCTAGAGACTGAGGACCACCAGCTCCTCGCATACCCCTTTAGGAGAAAAACAACATATTGCACTTTTTCCTCTGGGGTTGCATAAAGATATTCAAACACATCTTCCATCTCTCTCAACCACTCTACTACAGCATCTGGGCTCACATCTCCCTTAAAGTCCCTACCACCCAAACTCTTCATCTTTGCATAATCTAATACTGGCGGTCTTGCATCAACCGCCCCCACTCCTCTCGACTGGTCAGTAGGAACATTATGAAAACTTCCGTGCGAGCTACAAGGAAATATTGGCCTTAGATTGATCCACACAAAATTCATTCCTCACCAAATCTCTCATTTGGTTAAAACAAAAATTTTCCAAAATAATTACTTGAAAACATAGAAGTTCAAAACTCAATTTTGAAAACCATGATGCAGATAATTTCATCCAACATACCAATACACATAATCATGTCAAACTCAATTCCCAGTTTAAGTCATTATGGGGTACTCCCCTCCTTAGGAGTGTTTAACCTCCCATAGGGTATAGTACGCCATAACAGCAAAAAGAGGGAACCGGGCTCTGATACCAAACTGTAACACCCTACCCTATACGTTTTGCCTAATCATATTGTTCATACAATTGCAGCGGAATTAATCTCGGGTGTTACATTAATTATCAAAATTTACCTAAATAAAATTTTGACATGAATTACTCGCGTAATGGGCTAACAGTTCTTCCATATGATCCTGCAAAATAATTCATCTGAATCCATGCATTCATAGACAAACACATATACTCACAACCATATGCATTGGCTTTTCATAGCCATAGTCACAGTTTCATACTACACAACTGCATACTATACTGATACATGCTATAATTATCACTACTTACCTAATTACACATTATACACATATCATCAACTTTCCACACCTGTGGATATCTCACACTACATCAGAAGCTAGTATGCACATGAAAAACGTTCTCAAAACATTCTTTTACAAAAAGGTGTGGATCACTGGCCAAAATCCCGAGTAGTAGTCCAAGCACAGAATAGTTGAAGACCATACCTCATCCTTGCTTCAACTCTAGCTCCTCTCCCACCTAACAATTATCTACTGCTGCTGCTGATGATCTGCTTACACATAGCATAAGCAGAGAAGAAGAATAAAAGAGGGTCAGCTCATAGCTGATTGAGATAATCATAGCATCGTGAGTTCATAACAGAGCATACCCCTACCATACATCTAGCAAACGAGCCAAAACACTAGGATCGGACCTCAGCCATCCTCATATCCCAATAAGCAAAAGACTCAACCACTTTGACTTATGCATATGCATCTTATCATGTTTTAATCATAGGCGCCTGGCTACTCCCATGCTAATAACTCTCCCGGGAAACATACCCCACATCTCGTCGGATGTAGTCATACATACCCCAACATCCCGTCGGATGTGGTCATACATACCCCACACCACTATGGGTGTAGTCATACCCCGACACCACTCTAGGTGTGGTCATATCTCGTAAGAATTCTTCAGTCACCACCACATGAGAGGTGTGACTATCATATCATAATAGAGTAATAGCATAGGGAGCCCTAATTACTATGTAGTTGACCGTGAGACCACAACACTCATATTTGGTATCCTTATACATGATTCATATCTCATCTTGCTTAATCATAATTCATTACTTGCACATGTACTTGACCTGGCCATAATTGGCTCAACATAGGTAAACCAGGAGTCGTATAGTTGCACTTCCTCGGGATAAACCCTCGTGCAAGTCATCCTCCTTAAAACATCATGATATCACCAGGGAATATATATTTTCCCACTTGTGCATCCAAATACAACAATCATGAAAAATCATATCCAATCACCTTCTCGAACCATCATAAGGCATATTCACAATTAAACCCACATCTGGCAACATATATGGAATTATCAACATAAACAAGGTCCATATCGATTAGGGCAAGTCAATAATATCATACAGAAGCCTATAGTTCATCATATAGCAGAGAAGTCCATACACCCATAATCATGCCATTCTAATTCACCTAGGTCAATTCTAAGCATCAATATAATTATCGTGATACGACAAACCCGGTATGCCGTGCTAATCCCTCACCAGTTCTGGTCGTTCAAACACCGGTTTAACCTTCCCGTACTAAAACGTCAATTTCACGAACGAACCCCGAATTAAAATCCGAGACCGTCCTAATATCCCCTGCAGTATCCCCGTCAATATTAGTTCTAGGCTCCGGGTCAAATTCTCGATAAAAACACATCAAACCCTGGCCGGAGCTAAATTCAGCCATTTGGACCCCGGCCTAAATAATAGCCGAAATTCAGGGATTAGAACTAGAGGATTGATTACCTCGCTGCAGGAAGCTCGTATATGAAATTTGGGCTCAATCCGGCTTCCGGATACTCCGAAACCCTAATTTGGCAGATCGGGAATTCAAGAAATTCCTGAACCAAAAACTCGTTTTAAAGCTCTAAATCGATAAAACACGATGTATGGATGAATTAGGCATTACTTACGGGATTTTTGGATCACTTATGCTCAAGAATTAAGCTGGAGAATTTTCCCCCGACGTTCCCTGAACTTCGCTTGCTCTGTTTTTTTCTCTCGGTTCGAAAGTGGAAGAAGAAATGGCATGAGAGAATGGAAATGGACGGTAAATTTTATATCCCGACCGCTTTTATATATATATATATATATGGTGGCTTCTATGGTACCCCGGGTGAAATTCGGGGTACCGCATACCTCGAGTATGGAAACTCTATCTAGACCTCGAATTATCAGGATTTTTGTGTCTGATATTATACCCTAACCCCTAATGAGTGAACCCTAGGTCATAATTATCTAAATCATAATCTATAAACCCTAAGATGGTGCATTCCTTTTTGTGCCTGTATTTGGATGAATCATAACCGTCGATTATTATTTCTAATTAAATTGATCTTGGAATATAATATTGGGAGAGTTAACACCTAGATTTTGATCTTTAAGTGTTAGAGTATAGTATCATGTCCGAAACATCGGTCAATTCAAGGTCTAGATAGTGTTTTCATACTCAAGGTATGCGGTACCCCGGATTTCACCCAGGGTACCGTAGAACTCGCCATATATATATATATATATATATATATAATTAATATGTATACTTATCCGATCGATCGATAATCCGATTTTCGCCGAAATAGTGTCGAAATGCTCGATTTTAAATCGCGAACTTTCTAGCGATCGAAATATGGGTTTAGCCGAAACGGGTTGCTACACACACAATCAGCAAAAGCAACCCGTGAAGGCACACAGGTGAAGAGATAAAATGCAGTAAAGAAAAAGGTAGAGTAACAAATTTTCACGTTTCCCCAATAACCTAGAGGGTCCCCGGCAACGGCGCCAAAAACTTGACACGCCACAACACCAAACTGCGACCAAGTGTAATCGCAGTCCGGGAATGCAGTAAAGTGGCAAGTTCTATTATCAACCCGGGGTCTAGATCTACTGCTTACTCCGTGATTATCTATTATCTAGCCAACTAAGTCAAGTGATTGTTGTTTAAAGCAAAAGCAGTAAGAAAGCAGGAATTGGTTCGGTTTTCTCAAGCAAAGAAGAGTCACTCGGGAATGAGTCCCCCTAGCTCCTTAGTTAGGTCTCAATTGTAATTACCCTGGGTTGATTTACTGTTGATTAGACTGTGGAAGATCTGACAGTAGCTTGGAATCTCTTAAGCTGACCAAGCCCTCTCAGTCTAACTACCCGGCAGACGACTAGTCTTCACCGGGATAGAAAGCTGAAGCAATAAGCACAGAACTCCACTACTGGAATTGGATTCCAGTACAAAGCAGGAAACTGGCTAACTCTCGTATAGCCAATCTCCTACTAACGAATGATGAGGCTCTAACAACCTAATCAGATTCTATCTATCTCAGGTTGCAGCAGAAATCAAGAAAAGCTGATCAGACTTCAATCAATTCAATAAAACATGCATCATTCGATTAAAATCAAACAGTATAATCATCCCAAGTCATTACAATCAAATCCCTAACACATGGAACTAGGGTTCTTCATACCCAAGTGAGAGAAGGGTTCTACTCCATAGAGAGAGAGAGGAAAACAGAATACAAATCAGTCATACTCATAACAATGGGAAGAATCTGCTATGGGATGATGATTTCCAATCCTATGACGATCTCCAAGCTCGATTTGATGAAACCCAGCTTCAAGATAGCTTCTAGGATGTGTTCTTCGTACTTTCTCTCTCTAGGGCTCTGTTTTTGCTCTGAAAATTCGATTCTCTCACTTGTGGCCCAAAATTGGGTAAAAACCTGAAAATCCCGATCACACGGGCAGGCCACACGGCCGTGTGGCATACCCAGTTGCCCGTGTGAGACACAAAACGCTGCGTTTCCAATAATTGCACTTCAGGCTACCTACACGGCCAGGGACACACGGCCGTGTAGCTCACCCAGTCTGCTCGTGTGAAGCCTCGCATAATCCCACACGGCCACATTGGTCACTTGCACGGCCGTGTGAGATTTATTCCTGCCCGTGTGAAGGCTCGCACAATCCCACACGGCCACATTGGTCACTTGCACGGCTGTGTGAGTTTTGTGTGTGCCCGTGTGGCTTTCTCTGCGACTTGCCTCGCGCCCGATCTTCGTCCTATCGACCCCGAAATCGCTCCCAAACCTTCATTCACTTACTAGGACCTGAAATATCACAAACAAGCACAACCTAGCGTGAAATCGGCCTAAAACACGAGAATCAACACATCAAACGGCTCTAGAACAGGGGCAAAAACATGTGCAATTAACGGTTTATCAGTTGTCAACCCGCGGGTCGACCCACTTTGATGCTAACTTGGTGAGGAAAATGGGCCGCACGCACCCGCCGGGTGGACCACTACAAGGTATCGGGTTGGAGGTCAAATTGTGTCATTTTTTCTTTGTTTTGCGAAATACGACTATTTTCCGATTTTTCTTTTTGCCTAACTCCTTCTTTGGAATCCTAAGTTGAACATTTGAGTATATATGTTATATAAGTGTGTGCGAATTTTTACTATATGTTGGATCTAATTACGACATGTTATTTTGGTGGAATATTATATGTTAGATGATCTAAGTACAATATAATAACTCTTTCCATATTTCCGGGCTAAACCTAGGTAAAACGGGTAGGGTGTCCATTCGGATTCAGTTTTTAGGGTTTACAAGAAACCGACCAGATTATATACATTTTTCGGTTTTCGGGTTCGGGTTTGTTTGGGATTTCGGATTTTTCAGTTTCGGGTTCGGTTTTGCTTATCAGTTTTTGGGTTCCTGCTGAAAACCTCCAATGAATAGAATTCAGGCCATATTCTTTGGCGTTCGGGTTTTGATTTATCTCTAACCGAACCCAAACCAAACCCGATAAGGAATTTTTGGGTTTCAGGTAACCGGAATCTGCAAGTCCTTATCGGGTTCATGTTCGGTTTTCAGTGATTTTTGGTTTTGGGTTTTCGAGTTTTTTTGGGTTTCGGTTCAGGTAACCAAACCTCACCCGAAATAACACCCCTAGAAACGGGTGACCATGGTTGTCATGCCAGTGGTATGCCGACCGGTTGAACCAGGTCCAACCGGTGCCGGTCATGAAACCGGCTGGAATACCACCGGCACAAACCTCCAGTCAAAGCCGGTCAAAACCGGGAATTCCGGTGGTTCAACCGGTATGAGAGATGCCGGTCAAATGACACAAACGACGACGTTTTGTTTTTTAACAAAAAAAAAACGATGGTGTTTTGCTGTTAATTGTAGGGTTTCACTTCGCAGCCGAGCAACAAATCGCGAGTCGCGACCCATCCATTTTCTCCACCTCGCCGCCCAGACGTGAGACGAGCTCCAAATCCGATCGCCTCCTTCTCCTTCCGGCGCGGCCTCCTTCTCCTTCTCCTTCTCCTTCCGGCGCGGCTTGGCGTGGCCTCCTTCCGGTGCGTCTCGATTCCACAGCAACCGGTACGAGGTGGCTCGACTCAACAGCAGCCCTTCTTCCTCCGACGCCTCGATTCGCCAGCAGAAAAACCTCCGGCGAGGCACGAAACAGCAGCCCTTCCTCCTCTGACGCCTTAATTCGCCACCTTCTTCCTCGCCTCAGGTAACTTGCCGAGATAAACATTTGCTCAATGCTCATAGGGTGGATTGTATTTACGATACCCAGTTGATGGACGACAATGAAGCTCGTATGCTGCTTAGTCAGAAGGCTTTCGAGCAACACGAACCCTTGGAAGACTACAGATATGTGTGTGAGCAAATTTTGTCTTATGCTCAAGGGCTTCCCTTGGCACTGGAAGTGTTGAGTTCTTCACTTCGTGGGAGAAGTGTTTCTGAATGCAGAAGCATAATTAAGAAGCTGAAAAGAATTCCACCGGGGGAAAACAACTCTGTTCTTAAATCTCCATTTTGTTGGTCAATTTTACAAACAAATTATTCCAAAGTAGAGAGATCCATCTCAGGATGGTATTATTGATTTGATTTGATTTGATTTGATTTGATTTGAGTAGTTGTTATGAGCATGTTCAATTTGGTAAAGTTCATGTTCAATTTTACAGATCAAAGCAGATGGACTCCGGCAATGCATCCAGTCAACCATCTGTGACAAGTAGTAATGCTGGTTCTTCTTCCACAGTTCGCTCAAAAGAAGATCCTACTTGGGAGTATGCCGAAGAAATCAGAACTGAAGATGGGAAGTTGTGGAACAAGTGCAAACTGTGTGCTCGTATTATAAAAGGTGGAGGAATTACGAGAGTGAAGCAACATTTAGCCGGAGAAAGGGGTCAAGTTGGTCCTTGTTTATGTGACATACAATCTGAGATTGAAGTCTAGGTAATATTTTTTTTTGCATGTTACATTGTGAAACTTATTAGTACTTTATATACTTAATTGTTTCATCTTCTTTGATTTTTAGGTGCGTGAAGAAAGAGTGGAAGAGAGATCCAATTGACTATAAGCAATTGGATAAGATTGATTTTTGGATTGTAGAGGAAGATCCACCTGCAGACATTGATTATGAGGAGATTGAAAAGGCTCTCTATGAGGAGGAGGAGCAGGAGGAATCATCATCCTCATCTTGAAAGCGTCCTCGTGTTGAAGGTTGGCTTAGTATATTATAATTTAAAGTAAATTCATTCTTGTTATAATAGTGAACTTGTCATTATGAACAATCATATATATGGTTTTGTTGTTTGGTGCAGAGGACTTTGATTATGATGTGACTGATGAAATCGATTTCGATCTTACTCAAATCATTGAAGCAATGGTGATGGATGGTTTTATCTTTGAGGATGTTTGATTATGTACTTTGAACATTTGGGTGATGTTTGTTGAATGTTTAGGTGATGTTATCTTTGAGAATGTTTGGTTATGTACTTTAAACTATGAATGTTTGTGTGGTGTTTGTTGGATTTAACTATGAACATTTAGGTGTTAACATTAACTTATGAACATTAGTGAGTTGGTATTTAATCTTTTCCTAATTTAATTATGGATGTATTTTAGATATATTTTTTGTAATGGGTTATTATATTCATATCCAGAAATTTTGGTATAACCGGCATGAAACTGGTTCTACCACGGTAGAACCATTCCACTTGTAAAACCGGCGTACCGGCATAAACCGGTTTGACAACCTTGCGGGTGACCCATTAACTCTTGACCCACTAGCTTCACCGGGGGGCTAAGATTAGGTGACTAGGGGGGGTCCCTTAGTCACATGACTAAGTAAATCTCAGCCATTCCACCTCATTAAAATCCAACGGTTCAGATTGATCTCATTTAATAAAGGGTAAGGTGGTAATTGCATGATTTTTTATTTTTAATTATTAAATAATTAAAAAAATACATACCTGGATTTTCGTACGTCTCGCCGCCAGCGCTGGGCGTTGAGGGGATTTTCACCCCTGGTGGGTTTTTGGCAGCCCCATGACCATTTTCGATTGCGTAGCAGAGAGAGAGAGATCTACTAATCGGAGGAGACTTTTCCGGCGACCGGATGAGACTTTTCCGGCGACATTGCTGGATTTGTACTATTTTTCGGTTTATTTTGTAATGTTTGTATGTTTTGTTATTTTGTAATGTTTGTTGGTTTCTTTTGTAATGTTTGTAAACTTAGTTATTTTTGTGCACCATGTTTATCATTTTTGTCAACCATGTTTGTAATGTTTATTATGTCTAAAAAACAACCTGGTTGACTTTTAGATGGAACTCCTCTATATAGGGATGGAGCCTCCAAAGTCAACCCGGGTGTTTTTTCCAGTTTGTATGGATTGTCGGTCTAGTTTGTCATTTTTGTCCACCATGTTCGTAATGTTTGTATGTCTAAAAAACAACCGGGTTGACTTTGAGACGGAGCCCTCTATATAGGGATGAAGCCTCCAAAGTCAACCCGAGTGTTTTTTTCTTTTTTGAATGGTTTGTATTGTTTGTTGGTCTAGTTTGTATTATTTGTACAGTTCATACGTCTGTAATGTTTGTAAATCTGTTTGTGTGTTTTGTCTTTGTAGTTTGTACTGTTTGTATATTTAAGGGTTTGTACTGATAGTAAGTCCGGTTTGTATACTTCGTAATTTTCCATAATACCCAAATTACCTCTGTCATTAATTAAATAGCGCTTCCCACTTTTTAACCATCAGATTGATGTGTTCAGATCTAACGGCTGGGAGGGGCTTAGTCAAGTGACTAAGCACCCCCTAGTCACCGGATCCTCTTTCCTTCACCGGGTCCGTATCAACCTGCGGGTTGACAACCTTGGTAATGAGGGAAGAACAAAATCCTACGGTAATTGTTCCCTGGGATGAAAGATAGTCAAAGTTTTGTGCTTTAACTACAGGGTCTTGGTTTATATGATCTGTAGGGGAAAGGACTTTCTGGTAGAGAATGTGAGATCTGCGATTTCTTTGTTTACATTCGACAGTATGGATGTGGGACTGCCTCATTGAATGTTACTGTGGCTGCTTCAATTGTTCTGTAACCTATATATGTACCCATTTGAGTTTGATTTCCCATCCATTGTATGTCAAAGTTAGGCAAACTTCCCTGCTGCAAAAACTTCAAGAACGCTCTATGAAAGGTATACTTTTAAGGGATGTATTGGAGGTATCATTTTGACCATGAATGGACCAAAATTTCTTCCAGCTGTTTTAATACGCAAACCCTATCATCATCAATTCATTTCATCGTGGTTTAGATTGACCGGCAGGAACAAGACAAAGATGTTTTTTTGCTGCTGCTGTTGTCTGTCAATTCTTCTTCACAAGACAAAGATCGTAGTTTGATTGATGGTAGTTGGTTTTGGTTTTTTGAGGGTTTATAGAGGAATGATCAAGGAAGAGAACCCACCAAAATCTTTGGCCATTTAGTCAACCTTTTGGTTTACCCTACTTTTGGGGAGCAGATGGAAGCTTGCAGCCAAATTTTTGGGTCACTTGTACGCAGAGGGATCAAAAGACTTTCCCCGTATCCATTCTGACGAGAAGCAGAGTTCTTTCAGAAGCTTAGAACATGTTGAGTACACTGAGGAGAACCCTAAGGCTGCTACTGTCCAAGATCCAGTGGCTGATCTCAACTACCGCAAGTCGCATACTGGTGAAGAGAGGTTGATGAGTGGAAGAAGAAGAATCGCATTGGAAGTGACGAGAGAGAAGTTGGTCTGATGTTTGGGCGCTGCAAGATGTGAGTCTGATCCATAACAAAGCATATAATAGAGTGTATATTATGCCATTTCCATTTACAGAATCAACAATCAAATTATACAACACATGAAAATCGTATATTCAACTTACATCGCCACAATCTCACACATTCACAATAAGAAAAGCTCTTCCCTCTTTTTTTTTTTTTTTTTCCCCCTCTTTTTCCTCCAATCCAATCATGCTAACTTTCACAGCAACCAAACATCCAAAAGAAACGAACACACCACTTATTTCCACTCTCAGGAAGTCTTGCTATCATCATCATCATCGCTACCCGGCGGGTACCCAATACCACGCCGCTTGTTCGGAAAGACCGCAAACACCGCACTCGAAACCATTCCAATCACCGGCGGCAGAGCCATCAGCAACACTTTCTGTTGCGACTCAAACGCCGGGTAGAAGCAGGAAACCGTATTCCCATCCAGCAGAGAAACAGTCGCGAAAACAACCATCGACAAGAAAGCGTGGAAGAAATCCCCAACCCCAACCGTGTAACCCGAAAAATCTCTCCCGCCGGAATCCGACGCTGGCCAGAACCCTCTAAACGTGGCGATCCCGTAGCGGATCTTTCCATCAGCGTCGACATAACTGTCGGTGAAGGAAGTGAAGCAGCAACTGAAGCCGCAGACTGCCAGCAGGGCGCCGACCATGTACTTGTTGACATTACTCTGGCATTTGCCGTTGTTGGACAGGACAGGGTTGAGGAACTGGAACATGAACACGGTGCCCGTGGGGAGCATCCTGATCATGTTCCCTAGTCCCGAATAGACCATTTCGTGAGTGGATCGCTGCCGCGGCGGCGGCGATCCTGAAGAGCTCAGACCTGTGTCCGCCATTTTTTTTTTTTCTTTTTCTGATGGGTCAGGAATTGGACTCTGTTTTTGCTCTGGGTTTCAGGGAATTGTGGTGTTCTCTGAGAAGGTATTTATAGCGGGGGCTGGAAATCGAATGGGTTGCTTATACGTAAGAGATTGTGAACTGAAGCGAAATGGATTAGCGTTTACTCTCAGGAAAAAGTGCGGAGGAGTAGTGACGTTGAGGGAGGTGGAGATGGCGGCGTTGCTTTCTAGTCTAAGCAATGGTCTGGTTCAGGAAAGAAGGTGACTTCCATTGTTAAATTAACTAGCATCGGGCCCGGCCCTTGGCCGGGAGAGTTTGATTATTATATATTTTGATGTGTTGTTGTCATTTATAATATGTATTTTTTGGTATGGATAAAAAAATATATAGAAATGAATAACAAATATAAACAACTAATAGCTATATTTAGAAAGCAAATGATGTCTATTTATTTTGTATTTCATGTATGACAACATGAGAGTTTCCTTCCATTACACAAACAAAATTAATCTTAATCATAAAAGAAAATGATTGTCCATTCATGTAGTTTAATCAAATATTTTTTCCCAATAGTTATCATCTTTATTCATCACGGTACGTTATAGATATGAAATTATATCATGTGAAAGAATATGTAGGCCACATTAGAGATTGATCAACAATATGAAGTAGCATGTTGAAGATATACCACGATGATGTGAAAACCACCCTCGATACAACATTAACCTTACTGATTTTGAACAAACTAATATGCTATAGAATTTGTGACAATTTGCATCCATGCATGAGAGTGTTGTTGTAGAAGTTGTTAGAGAAACCATAAAATGACCTAGTGCCAAGATTCAGAATGAGCATTCTTAACATGAGTCAAGGGCTCGAGGCATAAAAGAAAAATCAAATGAGTATTTTGCGCACTTCGAAAGTTATAATTAAAAGTTGAGCCTTTAGATGCCTCATTGTTAACTTCAGTATTAATATTTTAATGTGAAAGTAGAGGTAGACAAAATAGTGGGCAATGAAGAGCAAATTGATCTCAAATGCTCAATACATGGAAGTCACTTTGAAGACTATATGTTAAAGTAACTTTTTGCCTTCAAGTTGCATCTTGCTCTCCTTAAAATCCATAGCATGTTTAGATGTGTAACAAAATCCTTTAATTATGCTCCCAAAAGAAACATTGTCAAAAAGATGAGAGTCAAAGACATTGTCAAAAAGATGTTCATTGTGAGAAATTCAATATCAAGAAATCCAATAAGAGCTTTACATGAAAAAAGTCTTGTGTTTCCTATTCAATAAGATAGCCAAAAGCAAGAGAAATAGACATAAAATTTATAACCTGCGAATTTGAAGGTCTGATACATGAAACAAAAAACTATTAATTTATAGTCTGTGCTCATCGCCATGGGTTAACCCTTATCCCCATCCACATAACAATATCAACGCAATTCTAACTATGACCATTTAACCCATAGGTTACATATTACAAAGCAAATAACAAAACTACTGCATATAGATAAAGATGTTCACAACCACCAAACAATAGATCCACCATTAATTAATCCTCAAGTTGTCAAGCATACAATTAGACATTAGACGAAGTTTATCTCCACCAAAACATAACATATAGCATGCGGTTTAGGCAAACATTAAGCTAATAATTTATCAAGTTTCTTAACTTAATAGAAATTATTAGATTAATGAAGAAGACAAAACCCTAAAAGAGAAATATCAATATTCTAAATTAAAAATTATTTTAATAAGTATTTAAAAAATAATAATGTGAAACTTCAATCTCTCACTCTTTCTTTACCACATTCAAACCATGTCGGAACCTCCCATTTTGTACCTTTCTATTTTCTCACGTCATCCGACACATTTGCTTCTTTCCAAAATGTTTTTTTGTTACCATATTTCCACTTCCTTCATATACCATTTTCTGACAGGACAGATTTGCATAAGACGAACCTAATATCGTTAATCACGGGGAATAAATTCGATAACCGCCATTGTTGCTTCGTATATGTCCGCCATCTTATACTTTCGTTGCAGTCAATGTCAAAGTTTGAAAGATTCATTTATTAACTGTGGATATTCAAACTTTAGTGTTAATTGCTTCAGTGACGGTTCATTCATTGGCTGCTGCCTGTTCATATGAGATATATATGGTTAACAATTTTACTTATGTTGGCAACGTTTCAATTTGTAGATTATTAACAATGCATCATTTCTTTGTTAACAATATGATCCAATGTCACAGTTGCCTATTAATGTTGTTTGGTCATATTATTGATGTTCATAATATCATTAATAAATTATTTCATAATTGAATATTTATGTTTATTATAATAATTGTTAACATCACACAAAATGGAATAGGTACTAACTCATATAATTAAAACTAATATTTCACAATTAGCCCTATCACCACCATGTCATATATATTGAAAATTTTCCGGTAAAAGCATTTTGTTAGTAGAATTTTTTAGATTTTTCAACAAAAAAAAATTAAAATACAAAGTATTTGCCAAATATATTGGGTTGGTCAAAACATTTTTCTATTATGGTTAAAATTTTTGAACTCTTTCTTGTTAAAATATTAAATATTTTGCAATGTGGATGGCCACATGTCTCTTCCTACTCAACATCATGTTGCCAAATCATCATTACTAACAAAACTATTTATGGGGCGTTATGTTTGGCTAATATTGCGTATTTGAAAATTTTGCCTAGTAATTCGAAAGTTTTTAACGGTTTTGCTACTAAATTATATTTAACCAAAATTTTCAAATGCATTAAGAAAACACATTTGATCATTGAAAAGTCAACGTCATCAAATAAGTTGCCACCTCCTTTATGTCTCTATTGCTTCCAAGTACGATGCTCGCAAAGAGGTGCTTGATTTTATGAATATGAAACATTTTGTTCCGAACATTTTGGTGAATTCTGAAGGAGGCGTTGATTATTGTTATAGGGAGTGCATGTAATTTGAGAAAGAATGATAATTGGGTTTGCAAAAGGGAAGTTTGATAATACAATTTGGTTCTTTATCTTATTCACCATAATAAAATAGAAAAATGAAGCAAAGATTGGAGAAGTTGTGGTGTGTCCTTATTTATTAGAGATGACTCATTATTCCAAGTACCAAGCTTTCTACGAAAGTTTAAAATAAATATAAAAGAATTGAACCAATAATCTCAGCAAGGTGGGGAGGAAAAGCAGGGCTCAATAGCCAATTCGTGGGAAGCCTAGGTCACGGAGTTAAAAGTTTCTTTCTCTTGGGCTGGAATCCAAAACGCAGAGTTTCATTAATTGTGCATTAAGCTTAAATGACATTATTGCCCTACCGCAAATCACTCCCAGGCTCGGAATTTCAAAATGGAGAAAAACTGGGTGATGAATCCCCATTATATATTGTTTAGATGTATACTATTATGTTGTGAAAATCAACTATGTATAGTTAGTCGAATACTATGGTTTGAAAAATGTAGGAATGGGGATGATTGTTAGACGGGTGAGGTTTTGTCCATGCTAGTTAATGTCGTATAAGATTTGGGTAAATTTCCTTCATCATGAATATCCATTCAATTATAGTAGTATTCGTTTATATAGTTTTGAGTGATGCTCTTCTTAGGTGGTAACTTCTTCTTTTTTTATGTGAACCTGTGATTCTTATTAATCAGTAGTCGGAGTCATATAGTTCAACGTAACTGATCAACAAGAAAGATTGGTGGTCTATCAATTCAAACCATTGGATTGTCCCAGTTGGTCTCACTATGAGTCATGATATGTGTTGCTTCATTCGCTTCTCTTCTCACATGTTGCCATGGTCTCGATCTAGTTTCATCTAGCACTCTCCTGGGGCTTCTGCAAATGGTCCCTATCTCAGTCTGTATAGCATTTCCTTCTTTCAACTTGTGTACTAAGCTCAAGCAGTCTATCTCTAACGTCACATTCATGTAATGGAGTTGGTGTGCCAGTCTTACTCTGAATTCCGCCGTCAAAGCTTCTATCTCCTCAGCATCCCGCGTACCACTCACTTTTTGGGCTGTCGCAAAGAGAAACTTTCCTGTATCATCTCTCGCCACTACTCCAAAACCCGCTCCCCCTCCTTGTAGAACAACCGCGTCTGTGTTCACTTTCACCCAACCCAATCGTGGTCGTTGCCATTTCACCTGCAAAGTATTCTAATGAATACTCTCTCCTCGTTGTTGGTGGTCCTTGTACTCATGTAAAAAGCAGGACGCACGCGATACAATGGCGGTTTCCTCATTCTTGCTCCCGTTAAAATAATGAGCATTACGCTCCTTTACAGATACCACATCAAAACACTCCATTCTTCACACTCTTCATCTCCTGTTGTCTTGAAGACCTCCATCACCCATTCAATACAGCTTCGCCCTGCATACTTTTCAAAGCACCAGCAAGGCTTGTTGGTCGCCAAAGCCTGCAAGTCCATCCGCATTCCCCAAAAAAGTGGACCTGAGTTTCCCGAATCCCACAAAAAGCACATGTGTCTCCTCTTCTCTTGCTCCGTACACTCAAGTGGTCCCTGTAGGTAACACGTCACGAGCAAAACGCTGCATGAAATGGCGTATTTTCGGCGGCATATTAAGAGACCAAAGCTTGTTCCATGTTTCCGCATCTCCCATTGGTTGGTGTCCTTCCCTTTCTTTAAAGCTTTCAAACCAATGTTTGTAACCATCACGTATAATGCCCTGTCTTATTGTTATTCCAGATTAAGCGGTCCATCTCTCCAGCTTCTCAACGGAATGCACAAAACGGCGGGCGTTAACCATCGTTGTTGCACGATCCCATTGTTCTGTCTCCAAATTGATGAGCTCTCTAACCGTGGCTTCTACAGGCAGACCTTGGGGCACCGACATGATGTAAGAGTTCTTCCCTCCTGGTAGCCATCGGTCCCCCCATATCCGAACGGACGTGATAAGCCGTTAATTGCACATGTTTTTATCCCTATTCTGGAGCCGTTTGAGGTGTTGATTCTCGTGTTTTAGGCCGATTTCACGCTAGGTTGTGCTTGTTTGTGATATTTCAGGTCCTAGCAAGTGAATGAATGTTTAGGAGCGAGTTCGGGGTCGATTGGACGAAGATCGGGCGCGAGGCAAGTCGAAAAGGAAGCCACACGGGCACACCCACAACTCACACGGCCGTGCAAGTGACCACTTTGGCCGTGTGAGATTGTGCGAGCCTTCACACGGCTTGCCCTGGAGAGCAGATCCCATGACTAAGGGGGGGGGGGGTCCTTAGTCACTTGACTAAGCCCCTCCTAGCCATTAGATCTGGACACTTCAATCTAATGGTTAAAAAGTGGGAAGGGCTATTTAATTAATGACAGGGGTAGTTTGGGTATTATGGAAAATTACAAAGTATACAAATTGGATTTACAATCAGTACAAACCATACAAACATATGAACAGTACAAACTAGAGCGACAAAACATACAAACATTACAAACGTATGAACTGTACAAACAATACAAACTAGACCGACAAACAATACAAACCATACAAAAAGAAAAAACAACCGGGTTGACTTTAGAGGCTCCATCCCTATATAGAGGGGCTCCTTCCCAAAGTCAACCCGGGTGTTTTTTAGACATACAAACAGTACGAACATGGTGGACAAAAATGACAAACTATACCGACAGTCCATACGAACTGAAAAAACACCCGGGTTGACTTTGGAGGCTCCATCCCTATATAGAGGGGCTCCTTCCCAAAGTCAACCCGGGTGTTTTTTAGACATACAAACAGTACGAACATGGTGGACAAAAATGACAAACTATACCGACAATCCATACGAACTGAAAAAACACCCGGGTTGACTTTGGAGGCTCCATCCCTATATAGAGGGACTCCTTCCCAAAGTCAACCCGGGTGTTTTTTATACATAAAAAACATTACAAACATGGTTGACAAAAATGATAAACACGGTACACAAAAATAACAAAGTTTACAAACATTACAAAAAAACTGAAAAACATTACAAAATAACAAAGCGTACAAACATTACAAAATAAACCGACAAAAAGTACAAAGCATACTAAACGTACAAAATGTCACTAAAAATGACAAACAATACAAACCGAATCTATACAAACATTACAAAATAGGTCAGCAAACATCACAAATCCAACACTGTCGCCGGGAAATTTCCTCCGGTCACCGGAAATCTCTCTCTCTCTCTCTCTCTCTCTCTCTCTCTCTCTCTCTCTCTCTCTCTCTCTCTCTCTCCGTAGCTGTGGGAGGAGAAAAGCTTGTTTGGGGAATTCATTCCCACAAGCAGAACCTTTTTTGGGAAATTAATCCCATCGGCCAGGGAACGGCGGCCTGGGAACGACGAAGCTTTTTTGGGAAATTAATCCCATCGGCCAGGGAACAAGTGAGGAAAATTTACAGAGATGTATAAGTGGTCATATCCCTAGCATTAGGCGTCAAAGCCAAGAACATGAGCAGAACCAAGATCCCTATCGGAATCAGAAGCAGCAGAAACGGCGGCGGCGGCAACGGCGGAAGGATGAGAGGCAGTATGAGCAAAGACGCCGTCAGTCCAATTAACAGAAACAGAGACTCCAAGCTGAAATAACCAGACGGCAACAGCCTGCTTCTTGATGGACTACTACTGTTCCCGCTCTGTGATCTCTGACTGTACAAGAATCTCTTCTTCTCCATCTCCGACCTAAATTGGTGCGGGACTGGAATTGAACGGCGGCCTGGGCTGGGAACGGCGGGGTTGGGGAGCCGTCGGGGAATCCTAGAAAACGAAGCGGACGGATAAGTGCATTATGTTTTTTTAAATTATTAAATAAATTAATTATATAATTACCACATTACCCTTCATTAAACTAGATAGATCTGAACCATTAGATTTTAATGATGTTGAATGGTTGAGATTGGCTTAGTCATGTGACTAAGGGACCCCCCCTTAGTCACCTGATCTTAGCCCGTTTGCCCTGATATCCACACGGTCGTGTGAAGGAGTGGTTTGGCCGTGTTAAATTGTGCGAGACTTCACACGGCCAGGCAGGGTGAGTTACACGGCCGTGTAGGTTGACTGAAGTCCAATTAATCGATACGCGGCGTTTTGAAGTCACACGGGCAACTGGGTATGCCACACGGCCGTGTGGCCCTGCCCGTGTGAGTCGGGAATTGCTGGTTAAAACCCGATTTTCAGGAAAAGGAGAGGAGAGAGCTGGGTTTTTGGTTCCCAAACACCCAAGGGACGAACCCTAGAGAGAGAGCGACTTGGGAACATTCTTGGAGCTATTTTGGAGGATTTCTTCGCCATTGGAGCTCGGGAATCAAGCTTGGAGATGGAGATTGAAGATCTAGATCAGATTTCTGCAGTCTCTCTCTTCTCTATGGAGTAACTTCCCTTCACTTAGGTTTTGAGGAACCCTAGTTCCATGAGTTAGGATCTTTCTTGTATGAAGTTTTGGATGCTATATTGCTTGATTATAATCGAATGATGCATGTTTATTGAGTCAATTGAAGTCTGATCAACTTTTCCTGATTTCTGCTGCAACCTGAGATAGATAGAATCTGATTAGGTTGTTAGAGCCTCATCATTCGGTAGTAGGAGATTGGCTATACGAGAGTTAGCCAGTTTACTGCTTTGTACTGGAATCCAATTCCAGTAGTGGAGTTCTGTGCTTATTGCTTCAGCTTTCTATCCAGGTGAAGACTAGTCGTCTGTCGGATAGTTAGACTGAGAGGGCTTGGTCAGCTTAAGAGATTCCAAGCTACTGTCGGATCTTCCGCAGTTTAATCAACAGTAAAACAACCAAAAGGAATTACAACTTGGACCTAATTGAGGAGCTAGGGGGAATCATACCTAAGTGAGTTCCCAAACTGTAATTAGTAGTTTTACTTAGTTTAGTTAGTAGAGTAGTTTAGTTAATCAATCCTTAATCTAGTTTGCTAGATAATGAACTGAAGCTGAGTAATAGTAACTCTAGAGACCCGTGGATTCGATATTTATTACTTGTGCCACTATACTGCATTCCCTTTTATTGGTTACACTTGGCCATTGTTAGGTGTTGTGTTTTGGAGTGTCAAGTTTTTGGCGCCGTTGCCGGGGACTTTCTAGATTATTAGGAAAGGCAGAAGTTTGTTACTTGGGCGTTTTTCTTTTCCACTCTTGCTTTTCACTTGAGCCGTGTGATTATCCTTTCTTTCGGTCTTCAATGAAAAGTCACCCTTTTGCATCTTTTAGAAGGTTCCACAGAGTGATTTTTACATGTTCTCTGCTGTTTCTGCTAGATGTAATGTGAGAGTTGGAGGTAGTTGTTAAAAGTTGGGCAGGTGTTTGAAAATGTGCAGAGGTGGTGGTTCTCTTAAGAAATGAAAGAAATGAAAGAAAACAAAGAAAAAAATGAAAGCAAAAGAGAGCTACCACCAAAAATCTGAATAGTGCCCATTAAGTAGTGTTTCTTAGCAGTCTGGCTTAGAAATACTGGTATTTATGTAACCTCCTTCGCTCTTGTGCTCTGAATTTGAGTAATGCAGAATAGCAGAAAGAAAGTACTGGTTTGATTGAATGTGAGTTTGTTGGGTTTGGAATTGTGGAACCTTGTGCTATGAATACTTCCACCACCTAAAAGGCCTTTTCCCCATGTCCAAGACCCTAGCCAGTCATTTGAACCTGTGTCTAAGACCTCCTGATTAGTTAGTGATGACAACCATTTATGTGAACTCTAACCTTTAGAGGTTGCCGTCATGGTGAAGAGATGTTAGGAATTGAGAGAATAAGTATGCGCATCTTTCGCATCAAATTGTCCTGACCCCACTGGTCGAGAGTGAGCGATTCATTTCCTTGTTCTTTACACTCTTTACCCGGTGAGGACCTAGATGGCTCGGTCTTGATTCTGATGTCCTGAGTTTTATGCATGAGTTGACTGTCTTGAGTGAGTGATTGAGTCAAGTCTATGTTGGTTGATGAACAGAAGGGAGACTCCTCCTTTACTCGATTTTGCTGCACTCGAATGTCTTCTGTGGTGGTTGTCCAGGTTGCTATTGAAGTTGGTCATGTGTTGATGTTTGAAAACCAATATGATTCACGTGGTTTGTGCTTATATGATTTGTCCCCAATGTTGGTATGGTTGAATTATGTAAGCTTACCTTGTGCCTGACTTGGTTTGCTTGGGGACAAGCAAACGGTTAAGTGTGGGGGAGTTTGATAAGCCGTTAATTGCACATTTTTTTACCCCTATTCTGGAGCCATTTGAGGTGTTGATTCTCGTGTTTTAGGCCGATTTCATGCTAGGTTGTGCTTGTTTGTGATATTTCAGGTCCTAGCAAGTGAATGAAGGTTTAGGAGCGAGTTCGGGGTCGATTGGACGAAGATCGGGCGCAAGGCAAGTCGAAAAGGAAGCCACACGGGCACACCCACAACTCACACGGCCGTGCAAGTGACCAATTTGGCCATGTGAGATTGTGTGAGCCTTCACACGGCTTGCTCTGATATCCACACGGCCGTGTGAAGGAGTGGTTTGGCCGTGTTGAATTGTGCGAGACTTCACACGGCCAGGCAGGGTGAGTTACACGGCCGTGTGACCCTGGCCGTGTAGGTTGACTGAAGTCCAATTAATCGATACGCAGCGTTTTGAAGTCACACAGGCAACTGGGTATGCCACACGGCCGTGTGGCCCTGCCTGTGTGAGTCGGGAATTGCTGGTTAAAACCCGATTTTCAGGAAAAGGAGAGGAGAGAGCTGGGTTTTTGGTTCCCAAACACCCAAGGGACGAACCCTAGAGAGAGAGCGACTTGGGAACATTCTTGGAGCTGAGAGGTCTTAGTCAGCTTAAGAGATTCCAAGCTACTGTCGGATCTTCCGCAGTTTAATCAACAGTAAAACAACCAAAAGGAATTACAACTTGGACCTAATTGAGGAGCTAGGGGGAATCATACCTAAGTGAGTTCCCAAACTGTAATTAGTAGTTTTACTTAGTTTAGTTAGTAGAGTAGTTTAGTTAATCAATCCTTAATCTAGTTTGCTAGATAATGAATTGAAGCTAAGTAATACTAACTCTAGAGACCCGTGGATTCGATATTTATTACTTGTGCCACTATACTGCAGTCCCTTTCATTGGTTACACTTGGCCATTGTTAGGTGTTGTGTTTTGGAGTGTCAGGACGCACCATTCCCTATACTCCATCTCATCCCTCCAATCAGAAAATCTTGCACTCCCATCAGGCTGCGCCATATGTAACTAGGCCGATATCCTAAACTTCCATTCAGAATATCGGTTGACTTATGATACTTGGCTTTTAGAACTCGTGCTATAAGGGTTTCTGGTCTCTGAGCTAAATTCCAAAGCTGTCTCGCCAAAAGAGCTACATTGAAGCCTCCCAGATCCCGAAACCCCATCCCTACTTCTTGTTTTGGCGCCGTCATAGCCTCTCTTCGGATCCAGTGGGCACGTTTCTCGTCCTTTTGTTGGCCCCACCAGAAGTTCATTATCAAGCTGTGGATTTCATCAATGGTGCCCTCAGGAACTCGAAAAACTGACATAGAATAGGTTAATTGAGCCTATGTGACAGATTTGATTAGGACTTCCCTTGTTGCAACTATAATAAACTTCTCTTTCCAGCCTTTCAGTTTATTTCTGATCCTCTCTTTTATTCCATCAAACAACTCCTTCTTCGAGCGACCCGCCTCGGTGGCCAAGCCAAGATACTTCTCATGTTTGTCAACAATATGCATATTAAGGACAGAACCCACTTCCAGCTTGCGGTGTGGCTTCACATTGCAGCTAAACGAGACTTCGCACTTAGGAAATCTCACTAGCTGCCCCGACTCCACCTGATAATTGTGGAAGAGTTTCTTTAGTTCGGTGGCCTCTTGGATAGTAGCCCTACCAAAAAAGAACTATCGTCCGCAAAAAAATTAGGTGGGACACTGTCGGGTCCCTTTTAGTCACCATGAACCCATGGAGTCGCCCCTCCTCAACCGCCATCTGCGTGTATGTAGACAACCCCTCTGCACAAAGAAGAAACAGGTATGGCGATAGCGGATCGCCCTGCCTGAGTCCTCTTTCTGGTTTGAAGCTCGGTGACTGGTGCCCATTCACCATAATGGAGAAGGTAACTGAGGAAACACACATCATAATTAGCTGGATCAATCTCTCGGCAAAACCCATCCTTCTCTACTCCTTCTAGGAAGTGCCACTCTACACGGTCATAGGCTTTTGCCATGTCTACCTTTGCTGCAAAGTATCCTTGACTTTTTTCTGTTGCCTCTTCATGGAATGGAAGCATTCAAAAGCCGTGTTAATATTATCAGTTATGGATCTTCCTGGCACAAAAGCACTCTGCTCTGGGGATATCGCTTTCTCCAGCATCCCCTTTAATCTGTTCGCCAACACCTTTGCCAAAATCTTATAAAGAATGTTACATAGACTGATAGGCCGAAATTCCTTACGCAATGTCGAGGTCTTAACCTTCGGAATTAAGGCTATCAGTGTATGATTAAGGTCCACCGGCATGCATCCAGTTTGGAAAATCTCCATCACCATCTCCGTCACAGGCGCCTCCTACTATACCCAAGTACTTCTGAAAAAATAGAGTCGACATACCATCCGATCCTGGAGCTTTCCACGGTCCCATTTGCTTAAGATCATCAATGATCTCTTCTTTAGTTACCGGCCGCAGTAGTTGCTCATTATCATGTTCGGTGATACTCGCCCGTATAGAATTCAGCACCGACGACTCCTCGGGGACAAGACCTTCACGAAAAATATCAGAAAAATAGTTGTTCAGATAGCAGAACAACTGTTCCAAACCCACGTG